GTAAGTAGCTGCAGCCCAACTTTGACATTCACAGTCTTCCCCCTTCACCCCACCCATGACCTTTAAAAAAACATCTAGAAATCCCCCACCTTCCCCTTCCCCCCTCATTTAGCAACGCCTTATCCGTCGGATGCGTGCGGAAAGCGTTAAACTTTGCAAACGGCATGTGCGTTTTCTGGGCTTTGCTCAAGTGCAGATTGTGCATTCCCGTCTTGCAGCGGGAAATCGCTGGGCAGAAACACTTGCCTGGCAAAAAAAAATAAGAAAAAAAAAAGGCGGTTTTTTTTCCTCCCCCCAACAAAAAGTGGAGTAAATGTCTCGGGGACCTATTCGGCTCTGAGCAAAGAGCTGCGATCCTGGCTTTCCACCCGCTGGACGGTTCAAAGGATGCTCTTGCGGGGGTTTGACCCGGGGCTAGAACTTGATCCCAAACCTGTAGACCCCGCGTGTCCCTGGAAGGAACCAGTGTAGGCTTCAATTGATGCCTCGGGGATTTGGTTTCCGGGAAATAGCTGCTGTGTGGGGAGGGCGAGTGCGTGTGCGTGTACTGCGGGGTGGGGTGGGGTGTGCGGGCGGGGGCTGCTACCTGGGGACGTGCAGGGGCGACGCGGGGAAGCGGCGGGGGCCGCGGGGCGCGGGGAAGCGGCGGGAGCTGCTGGCCGGCTGCCAGCGCGCGGGCTTGGCCTTGCTCTCTCGCGCCCCCTAATGGGGACCCGCGCACTCGCCGTTACCGTATTCACACAAGGCGGCAGCTGGGTTGCCCCCCCCATCCTCTCTGCTGATTTGCAGTTCTTCTAGAGCAAACTGATTCTTTCCAGCCGGGTAACGCCTTCACAAGGAAAAGAAAAATAAAATAAAATAAAATAAAACAAACCCCGTCCTCCAAAGCACCGACTCTAAACTGTTTGTGGGAAGGGACCGCGGATCTCCATGCGGAGAAAGTTAGGGAGGAATCAGTGTAACTACCTGAATCTGCTTCCTAACACACTTAACACTGATTTGGAAATGGCTGATTTTGACATTTGGGCTAATTATAATAGCATTTAACGGGAGGCTCCTTTTAGTTACTGTTAGCAAAGTTGAGGTGGGTTTTTTTTTCTTTCTTTCTTTTTCTTTTTTTTTTTTTAAGAATTTGGTAGATAAAGGTTAATCTTGGGCTGAATGATACAGCTGTGATTGACAAGGGAAAAGGTGTTGAGGGCAGGTCGAGCTGTCTTATTTACAGCCCACTGCTTGCTATAGAGCCTTTGTTAGGACTGGAAAGCTAATTTAGTGCTGATCAAAAGCACCACAGAGTTAAAGGACTGGTAATGACTGCTAATTTCATTTCAGCCTCATACATCCCCAACTGCTGTAATTAAAGACGCGCTATTTAAATACAGGTGAAGAGTTTTTGTAGTGGGGGGAAAGTGGGGAGCCAGTTACAATTTTATTTAGGCTTCGTACCATAAATGGATATAGACCAACATTTGATTTATTATTTTTTAATGATTCGCTTTTGTCACGGTACCGTGCCTCTTTAGAGCAGGCTTGTATGAAATACACCAGTTATATAAAGGCAAGGCCAAAAAAAAAATCCCCCCACCCCACCACCCTTACAGATCCTGAAATCTAGTCGCAATCTAAAGTTTTTTTTTTTTTAAATTATTCAGATGTAATGGCAATCAGAAAAACATTTTTTAAAAGGAGAGAAGGGAAGGGGGGGGGGACACGCGCACATGTGTCAGCTTTTAAGTGCCTCTAAGGAAGATCAGGTCTTCATATTATTATTATTTTTAATTAAATTATTTTACCACTCCATGGCTGGGTTTGTTGGCTCTGAAACGCTGTAATTTCACAACTGATATAACAGTTTCTTTCTGGGAAACATCAAAGGATAAAAGCTCTACATTTTCGTAGTTGGTTAAAATTGATACAAAAAAGAATTTAGCCTTTAATCTCTTTTTATCCATGAAGACTAAAGATCTGTACTCGACCCTGCTAAGCTTCCAAGCTGTCCCCCCTTCTTCCGGGGCTCAGATGTGCGGAGCGCAGCGCGGGCTGGCCCAGCGCCCCCTGTTGGACACAGTGGGAGCTGCGCAGCGCCGGTCCTGAGACCAGCAAGAACCTCGGGCTTTGAGTTTGCGGGGCTTTTCTCTCCTTTCCAAAAAAGTTTAGCAGCCTTTCAAGATAAAATACACCGGCAATTAGAATGTGAGGATGTGAAAGGGATTTAAGTCGAGGCTAAAGAACTTTCTCCAAAAAAAAAAAAAAAAAAAAAGTTTGGGTTTTTTATTTATTTAAAAAAAAAAAAAAAAAAAAAGATGAATCGGAAAATCACAAGGTGAGCAAATAACCCGCAGCAGAAGTCCGGGGAAGAAATCGTTCTCCTCCCCGTGTTAATTGTTCCCATCCCCAAACCCAAAGAAAGAGAAATAAAAAGAAAGAAAATGAACCTGTCACCCTCAGTGTTTGTAAACACGGGTGCTGGCGTTTCTTTCCATCTCTTGCACAGAGCTTTCGCTCACACCCGTGTTAGCAGCACACGTGGGACGCCGCTCGCAGTCATTTTCTATTCTATATTATTGGGGTGCCAGGTCTGCATTAAAAGACAAATAAATTTGGTAGAATTTTTAAACAAAAGAATAATAATTACGGGTTTTTCCCCCCTATCCCACATGCTTTGTGTTCTTAAATCTATCATAACATTCAAGGCTTTAGCATGCACGTGCATTTATTTCCTTTTTTATCCCAGGATGTTTTAAAGGAGCCCCGTATAGACAGGTGGTATTTTTAATTAGCATCTTAGATTTGGGTTTTACTGAAGGAAATATTCTCCTGAATTCTATTTTACAATCTGAGAAGGACATATCCCTTAAAACCATTGCTGTATGTGGTGAGGAGGAAGAAGTGGTGTTTTAACTGAATCATTTGAGATCTTTTCCTTTTCGTAGGTCAGCTTAAAAATCTGCAGTAGCATAAAAAAAAAGACTAACCGACTACATCTCTTACCAACTTTTAGCTCCGTTCTCGATTTATTATCTAGGGCTCTGCATAACTCAATCTAGCTCAGGTCTATATGTGCAAGCTGATACAGTTTATGTGTATGGCGTTTGAGATGAAACACCAGTGGAAGCCAAATTATTTTTACTAAATTGGGGTTATTTTAGATCTCCCCTTGGCAGCCTGGATGGGAGTTATTATGCATAGGTGTTTAGATTTAGTGAATCGCATGGATTGCAGTCTCGCACTAAACTTTGCACTTCAGAAATGATCTAAAGAGAGCATTCAAGATGCTCTTGTTTCTTACACTGAGGATATTTTCTCCGTCCTCTCAGTTTGCTCCACTCTGGAGGTTCCTAATCAAGCAGTTCTGTAGGAAGCTGCCTAAAATAAAGATATTGCTTTTCCTATCAATACTAGAATGAGCACTGTACAGAATGGCAGCACAACGGAATTCCCTTTTATTCCCCTTGTTGCTATTTCTCTAGTTAGCGCTGGGGAGATACATCACGGAAATGAACTACCCAAAGATCCAGCTCTGTACAAATCCATCGAGCTCGCTATAAACAGAGATATTATATGACAGTTACCATTACGGCAGGAAATGGGGAAAAAAATAAAAAATCCGAGAGGTGTTGAACGTCAGGAGGCAGTTTACAAAGATGTTAGTGGCTCTCACTGCAAAGTGAATGATTAACCCGGTTCAATTAGAGGTGCTGTTAGTGTTCCTCTTATAAACAGCTATTGTAAGGGGCTTTATAGCTCGGCCATAAACCCCCTTCACCCTCCCAGGAATAAAACTTGGCTTCTAAAGTCGCAACTCGGCGGTGATTTCTTTAACCCAGTTTCGTGTGGACTTATTTCCCAGTCCCTAAGCCTTAGCTCACTTGAAGGGCCCGATTCTGCAAAGCCTTGCTCACCAGAGTAGGTCTGTTGCTTTAGGATCTGGCCCTACATCTGGAAGACGCGTTGACAATTACAGGACTATAAATATAAATTGCTATTGTTAGTCCCCCACCTGATGCTGTAGTGTCAAGAATTTCTTTTGGCTCGGGGGAAGGAGGGAGCCCGTTTTCCAACATTTCCCCAAACACACCCACGAACAGCGGAGAGCGAGATTTAAAAAGAAAACCCCAAAGCAGTCCGAACTGCCACTTTCCCAGGCTGGTTTCCCTACTTTTCCTTAGGGCCTGTCTCCTGGAGTCCCAGGAGAGCAAGCCCAGTGCCATCCTGGTGATCAGCATCCTTGGCTCCATTGCTAGGGCAAATCGATGCTATTTGTGGGGCCTGTGTGGAGGCAACCTGTGCACAGAGCTCCCGTCCGTGTCGGGAGAGGGCCATGTGTCCGGTATCAATGGGACGGTATTTGTCCCTCCAGATGGGACAGAGCAGCCTGCCCTTTCGCTGCCCATTCATGTCGGGACAGTCTCGCTGGACTTCAAAGGGACGGCGCTGGAAGTGGACAGGCCCCGCAGTGATGGGCTCTAAGGTGGAAGGACTAGGGGTTAGAGCAGCTCGGGGCCCTGCTCCAGCCTGTCCCCGTGTCGGTCTTGCCTCCCGTTTTTCTCGGGCTCCGTTAATCATTTCTCAGCCCCTTCCAGGTCTGTGGATGGAAAGGCGCTCGGTGCATGGGAGATGTGGCGGTTGTTGATATTCAGAGCCTGGTCTCTCTGTCCCGATGACACCCTCCCTAAATATGAATTCGCGTTATAGACAGCTAGTCTATAATTTGAATTAAAATCCATCACCATCCGGATTCTGCAAGCACAAGTCTAACTTGACACAATGAGCCCGTGGTGTCAATAGACCATGGGCTAGATGGAGAGATTGTCACTCCAGATCATAACAGTTCTGAAAGAGTCATTACTGTCTGTCCTGGCAATGATCTCCAAATTAAGGACTATGAAGAACACAGCGAGATAAAAGTCACCGTCTTGGCTCCATTATGGATGATCGTGTCAGTGATCTGTGAATCATTGGAAGGGATTTTTTTTTTTTTTTAAATATACTTTTCAAAC